ATCGTTTCAAGTGTCTTTTGATACAAGGGCGATATTATTAAATGGCCGGCAAATGAGTTGGTATTTATTTCCCGATCCAAGGATTTTTCCTGTGATCTATCAGTACTGTTGAACTTACGAAAGGCTACGAATATTGTAAGGCAATTTACATATTCCACTTAATCAAAATCCGTGAAATGATATCCAAAACTTGGATTTTATTGTAATTTTAAAAGCTATGTATTCATATTTATAATTTTTAATTGTTTATATCAAATGTAACTCACATATATATTGTTCAATTTTTTTTTAGTATATCAACACCCTAATACCCAATGGTTCAGGTGAATAATAACTTCCTTTATTCAGAAATGAGCAGCCAGAATAGGTGAAGTTATCAACCGAGTGAAATTTCTGGTTTAAGTCTTATGGAAAGGTTTTTTAGAGTTACCCTTTTTGGATGATTTCTGACCACTGCGCTTAGTTGATTCGTTCGTATCAGCACAGTTTTGGCATACTGGGAGCATACTTTTTGATGTAGGCTGTTTGATGTCTGTGCTACCACACAAATAGCAGATGGAGGGATAGATTTTTGCTGAGTAATATGGTTTCTCTATCGGCGAAGCACATGTCCAAGAATCGTTAACAAAAACAAGCTTAAAAATTTCCTGAATAGGATCATCAACCACATCTTCTTCATTTTTTTCATTAAGTTCATTAAGTTCATTAGAATAAGTATTATTTGATTCGTTATTTTCTTCTTGATCGCTTTGTTCACTTTGCTCACTATAATAACTTTCATCATTTTCAATATCATCAGTATCTTGATCCGGATATGAATAGCTGGAACTGGGAACCGACTCTATCTCATTGTTATTGCCGTCAAATTCATCGGGTGGTACATCTATTTCATTGTTATTGCTGTCAAGTTCATCGGGAGTCACATCTATTTCATGGTGTTCTATTAGCACTGTAGGTGTAGTAGATGATAATTCATGAGTATTATGAAATGCTGTTCCACATGTATATAGAATGGTGTCCAAAAATTGCTCAAGTATCTGACGATTTTTATCTGATAGCTTGTTTGCACTAAATAGGAGCCGTGGCTTATCACAGTCTACGCAAGTAACGGTAAGTCCAACATTTTTAGCACGCGCTGCGGAGGGACAGAAGGGCATTGTATGATGTAATTTCCCCTTTTTTTGGTTGTCTTTTTGATTATGCTTTGTTCGAAGTGTTGCTTGTTGGCGCGATGGTCTATATTTTTCTGTTGTTATACTGCCATAGAGTTCATTAAAGGACTTGTAGTGAAGGTCTTCCCCGGGGATCGGATCAGGAAGATGAAAAAGTTGGGAAAATATCTCAGGTGGACTCCGAGGTGGTGAACAAATCGAACATTTTGTTTCTCCACACTTCTTAATTGTAAAGAAGTAATGCTTTGATATACAGCAATGGTCATAAAATTCTTTCAAGCGTGGCTTTAAAAAGAGAATAGTCACTCTTATTTTTTTATTTTTTTTATTTTTTTTTGAATTTATATCAGGCCAACCGAATAATTGATTGTAGGGGCAATTAATTGCAATTTTTCGAACTCAATTAATTGATTGATGGCGCTGCCATTTAATTGCAAATAATTGCAAATAATTGCAATTATTTCGTCATTAATTGGGGTTTTAATTAATTTCATGATAATTTTAATTGATTTTAATTGTATGAAGTATGACAATTGCAATTAATTTTTCGGTAGGCCCGATTTATATGTTTATAATATGTATTTACTTACCTTATTTTTTATGTGTTTCATTTCATAGTCATCATGTGTTATAGAACTATCGGCTAAGCAAATATTTTCCCAGAACTCTTTAATATCCTTATTTGTTGCAGCATCGAACGTTCTGAATGGTTCTTCTTTTAAGGATTGTCGTTCGAATACTTCACGAACAAGATTAATTGGATCTTGGATGCTTTTGATAAGTTCATCTTTCAACGTTGGATTTGATTCCGCTATTTCTCGTATGTCTTTCATGTTGTTTACTTTACTAATAAGTTTTTCATACTTATCATCCATCTTAGAGCGCATTAGCCCAACACATTGCAACCCAAGATTGAGAATTGACATAATACGCTCCACAGGGTTTTTCCACGAATGTGACGGTGGTGTCCTTACTGCTACAAGATAGTCAAGGTC